CATCAAAAAATTGAAACATGACTTTTGGAATGCATGAAAAGTAATTTCTAATTCAGCAAATTCCGAAGTGTGCACTGAAGCACGAAGCAATTTTTAAAAGTGCATTTTATTCGAAATCATGTAGTGATCATCCCGCTCTAAACCCATGGAATATATTAATGTTTGAGTCATTTTGAATGCGCATTTATTCTAAAAACAAATTTTGTGGTTTGGATTAAACCAACCAATTTATGCTTCGGCTATGAATATTGGTCCTTGATTGTTGCTTGTTTCACCCTCTATATAATAATAAACTCGACAGCGGCCCACGGCTCTCCCCAGTGAACTCTTGACTTGTTGGGGCGTGAATGATTGTCCCATCACCAAACATGTTCAATCTGCAATTCATGGAATAATACAAATTATAACTCGACACTGTCAATTGATGAATACAGTGGGGGAAAAATGGAGGCCTGAAAAGGAAAGCTGAACAATTTCACGAGTTCATTGGAGAGCCCCTCGACCGATTTTTAAACGATTGTTTCTCCTGAATGAGATGCATGCAATGTAGAAAAGAGGATTCGATAGTTGCTCATTGATTCCTTTTTGGAACGATCGTTCATACGTGGGCGTACATGAATCAAGATGAATAGCATCCATTCATGATTCAAAAATACAGAAACGGGGCTCCATGTGCTTTTCATACGCGGGATAAAGAAGTCTTCAAAATTTTACCAGTTGAGGGTGGCATTGAAAATTCAAAATAACCTTCAGATCCTGCATATTCATTCGCGCAAAAAATTTAAATGCAACCCTTTTGTAATTGAGGATTACAAAAGGAGGCAAGAAAAGGATCAATTCCAAAAAAAAAACACATCATTCAGCTGTCGGGATTTCCTATCCCATAAAGATAAACGGATAAATCTATTTCACTTTCCCCCCATAATTAATTCAAAGAACACACACACAGTAGAATTATCAGAAACAATTTGAAAGATAACTGGCAACAGACTGACTCAGGAATAATGAATATCAAAAATGTTGGAAGAGTGACATTCTATGGTTTTCACTCTCTCGCTTCCATGAATCTGCACTGTTGCACCTGATTGGCTGAAAAGGGTAAATTAATGGTTCAAATATTCAATTAAATGGACTGCCATCTAACAACAGCCCAATTTAATTATTCCAGAGCATTCTAGATAATTCAACACACATGATATACAATGATTGATGATCTAATTTTTCCGCCACACCTTTCTTATTCTTTTTGGTGCCGGCACTTCTCACTGTGACTGCAATATAACATTACTTACGAACCGCATTTTTTGCCCGCGCAAAACATACTATGTGCTGTGAAGTGTGTTGCTTTATTCTGCCGCGCAAAAAAAAAATCAAAAACAAAAAAGAACTCAAGAATGCGTACGAGAACATAGTGATCCGAATTATTAAATTTTTACTGTACCCGAAAGAAAACTTTGACAAAGAGTTCTAGAATACCAGAGACCTTCTTCATTCGGGTTGCGCAGCGCACTTGCGCCGCAAGTACGGGGTCATGATCTTCGGTCCTCCCGATTACTCTGTGCAAGAATGCCCAAAAATTTCACGCATCTAAAACACATTTCGAGATTGCCGCTGGGTCTGCTGATGGTAAATACGCGTATTTCCTTTTTTCTCGGGCCAAACATGGAGTTGAAGCGCCAAATTCGTCGCTTGAGCGATGGAAAAAACTTGACCCGGAACGTGGCGGTGTTAATCCAGCGTGAGCCCATTTCGCCCGATTCGCGCCCGACGCCGGAATTGATTTCGTGCTCCGAGGCCGACCCCGTCGTTTTCACGGCGGCTCTTCCCTTGCACGGATGAAGAATGTTTTTGCACCGCCGTTTCTTTCGGGATAATGGCGTCCAAGATTTATTCGTGAGTTCGTGACAGACCCCGAAAGGAAAGCAAAAAATAGGTCGGTTGTCCGCCTCTCGAATCGGTTCCGGCCGTCCGAAAATCCAAGTCCTGGGAAATTAAAAACAAGCGGAAGAACCATATAGCGAACCACGTAAACAGTACTCTTTTTCTCTTTTTTTGCTGTGTACACGTAGATGAGTCTTTATTGTCCAAGCCATCGACTGGATACCTCGACTGGATTCGGATAATCAACGTTTTTTGAATAAGCATTTACATCATTTTTCTGCTTTGACATTAAGCCGTTCCACGAAAAATGAACTTAGAACCAGAAAAAGCCTTTCTCTCAAGCTCTGACTTTTATTTCCTCTTCTTGGGAATTGTATTAGCATGACAACAATTTATTTGCCCATTCATCAATGGTTCCACTCAGCCCTCTAGAGAGTCTAGAGTCTAGACTAGTGTTGGGCCCACGGACCAGCAAATTGCCGTAAAAATGTTTCGTAGACCAGCAAATTTCCCAAAAATTTTCTGCAGACCGGCTAAGTTTTTCAAGATTTTTGCAGAAAGCTTTATGGCACGCACTTAAAAGTTTCTGCTTATTTGAAATAATTACGATCCAATGACGAAGCAGGCCTATAGTGGAATGTTTTCAACAAATTACAAAGGTGGGCTTGAAGAAAGGTTTCTCAAACTGAAATAATTAAAATAATTTATATAAAGTTTAATTAAGAGAAAAGCCTACGTATGTTTTCTTAAGATAATTTCAACTACCATTTGTTTTTCCAAGGTTTCTGCTAAAGATAACAGACTTCATTTCTACTTTTCTCAATGTATTCTGCAGAAAATTTCCCGCAGACCGGCAAAAAACTTCTGCGGACCACTTCTCTAAACTCTGAAGTCTATAAATTGTCGTGCCCTAAAAGAATCAAATGCATAAATTCTCAGTCTAGAAAATAAAGTGGATAATAATAATCTCTGATAAATTTTTCAAGAGAAAATAATTCTTGAAGATTGTTTTTAATTTTGTGAGAAATATAGTAACATCTGAGCTATTCTTTAGCTTCTCGTGAAGCATGCAATTATTTGACCTCCCTGAAGATTAATGATGCAGTTGGACTTCACTAAAATGCACGTGAGACCAGCGCGTATATAATTATAACGAAAATTGTGCTGAAAATGTGGGTGCTTCTACATTAATGAGGCATCTGTCGACAGATTCGTGCGGGTCAATGCAAAAAAAAAAAAAAAACTGAGTGCAATTACTGTATATACCTCCACAACTGCTGAAAAATCGCGGGTTTTTGAAACCTGGTTATTCCAGCTGGTCCAATTAAGATGCAAACTGCGTGTCAAAATGTTGAGACATGGTTGATCAAATAATTTTTTCGTTTATGAACGCTCAGACAATAGAGCTTTTGTTGTACTAGCTCCTTCTCGTGCCATTCGTGACAACAATACTCAATTTTTACTAGAAGAATAACATGGGCAGTCGTGTGAAACCTCATGACTGCACACATAAATGCCCTTGTCCATGGTTAAGTGGCATTTCGCGACAGGAAATGGGAACGTTTTGGGTGTTGATTTTTTTTTTCGAAATAGACCAACAGAGGGAAAAGGCAATTTCCCGTTATAACCGAAACTGGGGTTGCGATGTGTGTCTCAGCTGTCGATTTGCGAATAACATCCCCACTGTTTTCTGGTTCGATCGATGTAACGTTTTGTTTCTCATTCCATCTTGTTCCCTTTGTGGGTTCAGACGCGTCCAACATTAGAAACTCGGAACAATTTCCTAGGCCTAATGCTCAAAAGAACAACGTTGTAATTTCCAAGCCTTTGAAAGAGAAGGGATTGGATAATTTTTCGAACACGGAAATATGATGCCAATTTTCAACTATCTCTCCAGGAAGAATTCTTCATCCGCTCTGATGAACTCTAATCTCTGCGCAGTAAATTTTAATTTATGCTTTGTCTCACACTTCGAGTTTTGGCTATTGGAAGAACTCGCGGATTATTTGGGACATTTAATTGGGGCAGATTTTGCATGGATTATTATTGCTATCAGTGGAGTGTGGCTTATTTCCGAAAAATCGTGCATATTTCAACTGGAAAATCCTTTTCCAGCTCGAAATATAAATAAAATAAAATGAAAACCACGTACTGCCCAAACTTCGAATTATCCTTGCTGATTTGAATCAAGCAGAAGTGTAAGACTATAATGTCTTCGTTTCGGATGCGTTAAATCACATATTTTTAAATGAGATGTCGATCACACAAATAACATGGTATTGTGCGTTTTCATGAGATCTTGGTGTATTTATTCTTCCAACTACTCTCCCTTCTAAGACACGGTCCTTGAAAATGATTCTAAGGTCTGCAATAAAAATGTAAATTTATTCGGTCGCACTGACTTAAATAATGCGGCCGATTTCCATGATAATGCCTCAGGTGTGTTTTGACCGACTTTTGAAGCTGGAATGTTTTATTGAAGTATCAACTATTGAAAACCAAGCATGTTTTCTTGGCAGATTGCTGATCGTTATTTATTTCAGAGCACAAGAGGAAAGTTTCGAGTGCGATCACCTCTTGACGCATGTTTATACACGAAATGCAATTTAATTACTGTATATTGATTCAGCGGCTGCATTACTCGCTTCAAAATTTCGCTTATTATTTGTGAAACCAAAAAAAATTTGGATTTCAATGCAGCCTTTCGTCAATTTTAAATTGCAGTCATTCGATCATAGCATTGCTATTTCAAGCGACGAGACAGAAGAAAAAAAAACAGGTACAGTACTGCATAAAATTCGAGCACCGTTTGTCTTTGCTGAATTGAAGTATAACCATTCGCCGTACCCCTTTTCGGGAAAAGATTCAATTCATTTCCTGCTTTCAACAACGCGGCCGAAAATAGCACTGGGTCATGACGGGTAACAAGCAGCTGCTCGTTACACATTGACGAACCGAGCAGATACAATGCGCATTCATGAATCCCCATATGCAGCTTGGTTTTTACATCTGTCCTCAGCAGCAGCAGCAACCCTCCCCCCATGATTCACTGCTTGGTAGAAACCCCTTTTTGTCAATGCTGGGGGCATGATGCGAAAGAAAGGCCCCCCTCGGCACAAATGTTGCCCGGGGCTATGAAAACCTGGATCTCGTCCCCGGAGGATCGAGCCAAGTCTCATTATGTTTGCGCCGGTTATTCCCTTGATACTGGTCGTTTGTTTAGCAACCCGTGCCAGGTATGTCGGACATGCCGAGTGTGATACGAGAGATGAAACGCCATCAGAGTATTCATGTATTTTCCGGGACGAAAGTCTTGTAAATGCTGTAGCTCAGGAATGAATCGTTTTTCGGCAATCGCCTTAAATCACAATCAATTTAAAATTTGGAGCACAGAGAATGTGTGCAAATTTCTTGTCAGCGAAATTACGTTAACCGTGATACTTCTGTTGTCAACCGAAAACCTCAGGTTTTGACGAATCAAGTCCAGGGCAAAATGTTGCCTTTAAAATTATAAATACATTAGAAGGAGGAAAAAAATATGATTTTCCATTGGAATTATATTTATTACTCAGACATTTTGAAGTTTGAGGCTCGCTTATGTCAGTCGGAATTACTTCTACTCTTTTCAGCACAAATTTCAAAATTCATAATAGGAAATATTTTACATTTCCGGGTTATCCGCCAATCTTGAATCCTATAGCTCTCTATGGTGGTTCTAAATTCAACTGACAAGTGATTACATTTCAAATCAGAAAAATTCCAAGAAAATAATCAGCTATTCAAATAACAATTCTTCATTCAAAATGTTTAACGCACGAAGAGTCGTTTGCTAACACTTGTAATTTTTAATTTTTTTAGTGTATCCTTCTTTGGATCGAAGACAATTCCATGGCCAATAAACAGCTAGTGGGTATAATATGATAATCTCCATTTCAATTTAATAACATTTCAAATGAAGACCCAATTAAAAAAAAGAAACTGCCCAGCCAAGTGAAAACGTCCCTTGCCAAAAAAGATTACGTTTTTTTTTTATACTACTGCATAAAAGTCATGTCATATGATTTGAAACAAATCGCATAATAAATGTGTAGTCGAGACGATTAGTAATCTTACGTTTACATTTAATTGAGGATAAGATTGATATTGCTTATGACACCTTTAATTTGGTACAACTATAGTTATCGGTACGGTGCTATCCAGTACCATTCGGCACTCTCTAAAATACTGTCTTTTTTCTTGATGTTCATCTGATAATCGAAAATTCTCACAAAAGAATAATTAAAATATAAAATTTCAACGTTCCTATAAAGTTATCGAAGGCTTGATGTGCTCGCAGCAGTCCGTGTTGGCGAAGAATAGAATCATCGTCAATCTCAAGCCCGAATTCTCTCCTTTTCGGTATTATTTAAGCATGATGTGATGCCTTCCTCAACACTGTGCGCAAATTTATATGGATTCTCTTTTGATGTCCGATATGAGGATGGCAACCTGCATGAAATAATGTCTTGAACATATAAACTCCCTTTGGCACGCAATTCAACGAGCGAAACGAGAGCAGTCGTCTTCAATTTTGGCCGTATGACTAGTTTTAAAATTTCTCATTTAGTGATGAGCTCCGTTTTTTTGCAAACGATAAAAAACTGGGGCAATTTCAGAGATATCACGAGGATTATTTCACTGCTGAAGTACAGTACAGTACTGATCTAATTTATAAACCTTATGGCATGCGCTTGTCAGTACTAACTGAGTAAGAAATAATTTAGGCAGGTCATATACTCATCGAGTTACACTCTACGTGATTGCCGGGGAATAAATACGATGCGATGGTGATGCTCAATCAATCGCATCGAAATACTTAGTTGAAGATGATCGCAAAATATCAACAAATCGATATAATGTAGGTATTAGGACTCTCAATAGCTTCAACATCATCAGTTAAATTCACAGAGAACATCGCCCTTGCAAATGATTACATTCGATTAAATTTTTGCTTAGTTCACAACGAAGGAATGAACAGCCTGAGAATTGACGATGAATCCAACTTGTTCGTCACACTTCCCCAAGAAGTCCTCCTGAAAATATTTGGCCAATGCCGCTTACGAGAGCTCACAGCAGTAAGATTGCATTTTTCAAACAGAAGCAGTTTTTACTTATTTGCAGTATATTTGAGACGCTTTTTATTATTTTTTAGCTAGTGACAGCTTTTCCTGAGCTGAGCGGTGCCATCGAAGATGATTCCTTATGGAAGAAAAGCTTGGCCATCTATGAGTCGCCCTCGTTTTCCAGTATCATGGATTCTCTCGAATATCGCGGTGCGAAGTTCGAAAACATTGGTGAGTTTTAGACTGGCAAACATTTTGAAGATTGAGTGGGAAGTGGAAATTTTGTAAAATAAATTCTCGATGAACAATGTGAGGTCAGAAGATCGATATCATTCAACAAGTTTCGCAATTTTCGCTCTCAATAAGCAAAAAAAAAAAAACAGTACTGTAGTTTCAAAGCTTAAAAATGCAATACCTTCATCGATAAATTCTCCAATGATTTGAAGGTACTGTACTTGCGTCTTCCTCGATCCATAAATAGGAACAATCCAAGATTGCAGATTTTTGAAAAAAAAATCTTCTTCCAACTCTGACTCACCGTTTGCAATAAGCAAAAAATTGATGATTGAGGGCAGAAACAAATAAAAGCACCGAAATGTTTATGCATTTCATTACGTAGAGGAGTAATCAATGCAGGCAAGTGGGGAAATTGTGGATTGTTGGCCTCAGAAATTCCACATGCATGGAAATACTGTACTGTAATAGATGGCGCACCTCTGTGGTCAAAATTTGTTATTTCATGCCTCGTAGAAAATCTTTTGTAGAAAAATCGTCGAAAATGAACATGAAGACAACAAATAATCAAAAAGAATCCATGAATTACCTGATTATATACATTTACTCACATTGACTGAAATACTTCGTAAAAATGCGGACTAAGTGCGGAACAGACTCTCATCATAATTTTGAACGAAACCACAAGATTTATTTCGCGTACGTGAAACAAAAAATTAATACATGCAATATTATATTTTTACGTCAGCTTTCTTCATTTTCCTCTTCGAAATTTGAAATGTCATTTCCCTTTTCAGAGATCAACTCCGCAAATGAAGTCGGTAATTAAAATCGGACCAACATAAAAATAGGGATACGGTGGACTTTTACCTAGTCGTGAAGATGTGATTGTTTAGAAATTTTTAAATTCATGAGAGCGGATTGATTTTCAGTCCATACCTTTCTCTGCTCGATTCAATTCACTCATTAGCATTTTTTTTTTACTTCAAACCGAATTTTGTTCTATCAAACAGCCCTTTTCAACTGCTTCGCCCTGAACGCTGCCATTCAAGCTACGACCTCGTCTCTTTGCGAACTGCGCAGTCTGACGGTAATCAATGACGAAGCCGTCGAGTTTCGCGAGGAATCCCAGCAACTTCTAAAGATTCAGTGTCCGAAGTTGGAGGAGATCAGGTTAATTACAGTCATAATGAGCGCTTCAGTGCTGCGAGCGTTTCTGACCATGAGGGGAATCAAAAAGTTGGCAGTTCGCAGTGCAGGTGTAGGATTTGCAGATCCTACTTTTCGCATATACACGAGTACTTGTATCTTTGTTCGATTTAAAATAGGATTAGTGAACTGCACCTGGCCGAGTGTTAGACCCCTGTTGTCAAGGGGAAGGATGACTGAGTCGTTAACTTATTTAGACCTGCGAGAAGTTTGCTTGCACGAGTCGGATTTCGAAGTGATTTTTCAAGGCTCGCCTTTGTTGGAGGGATTTATTTGGACGTCAACCTCCAATTCTCAGGTGAAGGTCGAATCGAAGCTTTGTTCAAATTAAGAACTCTATGAAAACTTTCGAGAAACCCCAGTGATCGAGTTTCTGTTCCCCGACGACGTAGATCTTATGTTGACGATTATTAGATTTTTTTTAATTCGTAAGATAACCTTTGAATAGGCCTACCTCAAATAAGGCATTTAAAATATTATATGAATTAATGATATAGGACTTGATTTGCTGATTGAATTATTAGAGCGCTTTACGACACATTTTCTTTTTTCTTTTTACCTTAAACAAATAACAAAATTTTGAGCAACTTCGACATCTTCACTTGAACAATATAAAATGTTTCGTCTGACTTCCGCTTTGTGAATCTTTTAAAGAAAAATCAACTGGGACGACCATTTTCCATAATCTCTTCGAACTGTGAAAAAAATCACATTTCGACTTCCGTTCCTGATGCATTAATTTTAATTGTCAATTCAACATCCAATTTATTTGTCTCCAAACGTATCAAAGAAGGCAACACATTTTATGGCTGTATTCAATACGTTTTTTTTAATCCTGAGGCATATTTATTTGTGCATTCCGTAGATCATCTCGGTGATCTCCGTTTTACCTCTAACGATCGAAACGTTCGGGATTCAAGTTTTGCTTTCGGATGATACTTTGCCGGAGATAGGCATACTGTTGGAGGAAAGAGGACAACTGAATTTACGATTGACGTCCATTTTACTGGCAATATCCGATTATCAAATGACATTTGACATTGCTCGCCAAATTTTCGGAGGAACAATTGCATGGCCTAGGCTTGGGACCGTTGTTCTGGGAAAAACTGGAGGTTGGGCCGATGATGATTTGCTCATGTTCGGCGCATTTCCAAGGAATATCACGTGATGCAAGCTTTTTTGTTGTGTGAATGAACTTTTTTCTTTGTGAATGCAGAAGGATTAAATTTTTCTGGAGACAATTCTGCCGCGAAGAAATCAAGAAAAAGAAACCGTTCGACGAGAGCAGGGTTTAAATTTAATGTTTAACTTTATAAAACTTCTAGTATAATTATCAGTTTGTTAGTCCGCGATGAGTTTGTTATGCAGTTTTGATGATTTCGTTCCCAGAAAATTGGTAATCAAATCATTCGTCCCGGAAAGCATCGTGAACTTGTTGATCAGAAGTTTGCCGAATCTGCAATTCTTTCACGCGGACGTGAAATATCCTTGCCGAGGAACATTCGCTTCGTCCTTGTCTGAAAATCCGAGGGTAGCCCCCAATTTGCAAAGCATTTTCATCACTCAACGGAGATTGGATCCATTTCTCTACACGAGCTTGCAGAATTTGGTGAGCCATATTTCTATGAGTTCCTTTTTGCATTTCGTTCGCATGTATATACGAAAGACTTTAAACTTTACAGATTTTGATCCGGCCAGCTTTGAAAGTTTGCTTTTGCCCGGATTCCCGGGACGGACGAACACTTTACTTGCATCATCCGGCGACTTTGGACGGGGCTCAAGTCAGATTTTCCATGATCGAGGCCTGCGAACCCGGCTCAAATTGGCGCTTTTCCCACGATGAAGCGATGATTTTCTAATATTTATGAATGACGATTATGACGTGACAATATGCCCGCAAGCAAACACATATATTTTCACATTTTTATAAAAGTATAACCAATAATTATTTCAGTGATCAAATGTCAAACGATTGGCTCATTCGAATGTTTTCATTTTAAATCAAGACGGTTCGCTTCATCTAGGAAAAAAATTCATCAATGGCATCGTTTCCGGTATTTGAAAACGCGGGCTAACATCAAAAATACATTTTCTCGTGATTTTAGAAAACTTTGTACATGGTTGTATTTGCTTAAAGTTCATCTCAATGACACCATGTATAAAGAACAATCTCGATTTTTTTTTCAACGTTCGTTCGAAATGAATCCACCTTTTATTATTGCAGGGTCTTCGAATCAATGTTACGATACTTTTTCTTTAATCGTTTATAGGACAATACTTTAATCATTAGCAACGACAACTTAAGACACAGATGTGAATTAATTTAAGTCGTAGATGATGTTTCGAGTGGCAGTTATTTTTTATGGATTGTCAACTCCTTCCAAGACGGGTTTTTTAAAATGTTTTCTTGAAAGTTTCAGTTAAAATGCTTGGGCCAAAAAATTGCTGGTACCATCTGCTTGAAAAAGCGAGTGGCACATTTCTTTTAAATTATTTCGGAATGATGCTCATCTTGGTCCTATAAAGTAAGATAATGAATAAAACATTTTCTAATTTTCCACTTGCGTTGAGAAGGATAGCTTGTACGGTATTCAAGATACTGATGTAAATCGCAGTTTGAACATCGGAATATCGCGTTTAGTTCCATAGACATAATTTCCAAAACAAAGATTAACCAATGAGTAAATCCCACGACTTATTTTTTTCTGAAGAAAATCAATCACGGGCTCATCACGGGAGACATTCGATCAATACCATTTCGAAGATTAATGCGCGTCTTAATTGCAAGAAGTCACTTCGTCTGAATGATGTTACCCGGACTCAAGCCAAGCGTCCGTCCGTTCTTCAGTAATGCATTTTATTGTAAAAAAGAAAGATCGTTCATATAATCATCCTGACATGTACGTGGCAGATTTTTGATTGATTCGTGTACCGTAAAATAAAATTAATTGCATGAAAATTTTCCGAATGGGCATCAGGTGTTGGAGAAGAAAATTATCAGCGTTATTCATTGATTTGAACAAAAAATGACTTGAAAAAAATGTAAACCGCGAGGTCGCACACTCATATAGTACGGGTCCATTTTCCGCGCAGCAACGGGATGTCTGGCATGAAGCTCATCTTCGGCACGAATAAAAAATGAAATAAAAATAAAATGAAAGTTGCCTGATGTCTGCTGGATTTGACAGATTTACGGCATAGGCTTCCTCAAAGTCGGGAGCCTACAAAAAGCAGCAGGAACACGAGCAGCATGAGCATCACAGAGCCGCAGCAGGCAGTAGATGTACAGCAGCAGCTATGCACTGTACGTATATACGTATAGTGAAAGGCGACGGCCATTAGCGAGAGATTCACCGCGACTGAAATTTCCCTGCATCCGGAAACTTTTCCTTCGATTCGGTTTCCGTTTCCCTTCCTTCTCTTTGCTTCAAAAACTTTCCTCCTTACCCCCTTGTTCAGGCATTATTCTGCCCCAGCTGAGCCTGCTTTAAGTGACTTTGAAATCAGGGTTCCGAGCTGATCGTCATTTGAGGCAGCGGTAACCGATTTATTTTCTGCGATGTATACTGTACATCATTTTTGTTGCACCAGAAATTATAGATATTTTTCAGTACAAGTGGACACTCTATCTCTCTCTCTACAACGATCTTGTCTACAACGAGTTTTTCAGTGTAATGATTTTTCTTTCAGTTCCAGAACACAGCACTCTCCCCATGTTACAGGGGTTCTCTCTACAACGAAATACTCTGTGCAGCGAATTTTTCATGCTCTCTTGAATTTCGTTTCAGAGAGAGTTCATCCGTACTTCGTTTCTAAATGCAGAATGCTGTCTATACATGGACGTTATCCATGAAAGTTCTCTACACAACCTTAGGAAATGGTGATGATAATAACGATGAAATATTAAAAGGATTTTCATCGCAGAGCACGTGAAAGGAAAATCTCACGAGTCTTGAAGCAGCATTCTGATTTTGAAAAATCGTACTTGATAAAATTAATTTGAATTCTGACTTATGAATCTCGCTCAAAATTTCAGCGGTATGTAAAAGAGGTCACAGTCCTCGAGCGAATGCAATTCAGAATTGAAATAAATAAACTTATATTTGAGTCTATATTCAGTGATTTGTTTTTTGGTTTTAAAATAATGCTTTGGAAACTAAATGACGCTTTCTTTTTCGTGAAATGAAAAGAGGCCTTCTGGGAGATCAGAGGAACCAGCAGTTTTATGAAGAATATCCCTGATGTGAGAATGAAAAAAAATCAGTAATTGGAATTTTTTACCTGCCTATTCACGGCAAACATAAAAAAATTTCTTTCATCCTTCTACGTATATCCAAAATTTTTATCGAAGCAGGCTTATCTTTATTCAAGCCTGAAATTGTACGGATTTGATTTTTTCGGGAAAACGGATTTTATACATTTTTGAGGCTTTAACTCCAAATTGTTTTCTATCCGTAAATGTGAGTCAATCTTTGCAGAAAACGTCTCATTTCATGTACAAACCAAAAATCTGTTGCTTTTTTTGAGAAATAAACAGGATTCAAATAGATCGAACTTTGGTGCATTACAATTGGCTCTAGGACCATTTTAAAAAGGAACAAAAATGGCAAAAGCTCAGTTTCCTCAGAAAGAACAAAAGATTTCAGCTTTTCATTCAGTGCAAAAAACGGAGCCGGCGCGGCCATGAAGGAGCAAATCATTTTAGTATACGTAGCAGAAACTTCATCAGCTCAAAAGCAATGAAATAAGAATGAAAGTCTACGTGAATGATTTCGAGGAACAACTTTTGTGCATAAAAGACCTTTGTCGGATCCGGGTTAGACTTTCAAAGCCGGATCACATGCTTCTTTTTCTTTCTTTGTTTTTATTTGCTCTTTTATCTAAGAAGGAAATAAAATTTCATCACTGGTATGCGCACATGCAATGTGGGTCAAAAAAGTAGACCGGTTTTATTGCGAAAAACTACAGTACACCTTGATTGTTTCAAGCAATACCTTTGAATAATGAATCGTGGAAGTTCATTTCTTTTCATTTTGGACAGAATGGCCGTTTTATTGTTCACATGGCATCATTTCAACGGAACCACGTTGACATAATTCTAAGAAGCCTTTATATGGTCTTTGAATTAATTTACATGCATTTCCCACGATGTGAAGGAATAAAACCTGAAATTTGCGTAATTTTAAAAATCTTACATTATAGCGTGCAACTGGGATAGACGGATAGAAAAATTCAGTCTGCCAACACAATAATCATAGGGGTTTTTTTATAGCGATTTAGATTGAGAAATTTTCGGGCATTGTGTGAGAAAATTTTAGAAAATCGGCGTTGAATTGGAAATCCCACAGCTAAGGCATTTATCTGATTCTGCTGTTCGCTAATCATTTCGAGGCATGCAGAAAAAAGAAAATCCTTGCAGAAATGCCTGCAAGCCTTTTTTGGAAGAACATCGGCATTTTTTTCATCAAGTGCGCATGTCAGCTATACCATTACAGTTTTAGCCTCAAAATTTGAAGTCATTCAACAGATGCACTGTCAAAATCGTAGTATTTTTTTTACGGATGGCTCAAAAATGTTGAAACATTCAGGATACGCATTTTAGTTGAGCGGCCGAGCAGAAAAATTTCGATTTTTCTTAAATTTGTGGTCCATCCTGTAAATTTTTTCAAACTCTTGAGTTCTGAAACGATGGGGATTCTCGTTGACTTTCTGCTGATCTCAGAAATAAGCAAATTTTGAGAAATTTTGTCATTCGAGTTTCCCAGATCAGGGGGAGAACTTTGCTACAGATTTAAATTGAGCATCCATATAAATCATTTACCTTTCTTTATTTTTGAAGAAAAATAATTTAATTCACAAACGAATATTTCTTGGGCTCTTATTAAAAATGGTTGTCCGAATTTCAGTTCAATACGAAAGAAAGTGTATGTGCCTGAGAGAATACCGCTTAAGGTGTGCACTGCAAAAAAAGTTTTCGTCTCGTCTCAAGCAGCGTGAATGCGAAACCTGGAGAAAATAATCCAGATGCACTTTTCTCAAAGATTCGTCCTCATCAAGATTGCACGATAAAAAAGGAAAGAAACCCTAAAATGAACAAGGAAAGTGCTGCAAATAATGGAAACTGCGCAGGAAACGCTTGGTTTTGCTACTTTTACAGAAGGAAAGGTTAATGCGCAGATTTCGTTAGATGAGTATTTTAGATTAGTGTGAGAACTATACTAGCTTCGCTGCAGATTTAAATGGAGTATATCCATTTGAATAAATAATTTTTTCTTCACTTTTGACTTTCAAAAAACAAAATTTTCTTCAGCCCTTGACGTAAAATAAATTGTTGTCGGAATTTCAGCGTAAAACGAAAGAAAGTGGATGCGCCTTTTAGATGATAATATTGAAGAAAATACCGCTCAAGTTACGCACTGCGAGAAACATTTTATTCTCGTCTCGAACAGCTTATTATGAATGCAAAACTTTTCCGTTCGAAAGAAAAGAATCCAGATGCACTTTTCTCAAAGATTTCTCCTCGTGAAGATTTAACGAGAAAAGAAAAAGACAAAAAAAAAAGCCAACAAGGAAAGTGCTGCTGCAAATGGAAACTGCGTCGGAAAAGCTCGGTTTTACCAGCTTTAGAAGGGAAAGGTGAGTATAGTTCGAGATCACTCAACGCAGTTCCGCCGTCGGCAGGGGTGATATGCAAACTTCCCATTATAATGCGCTCGAGTTTCCGCTCCAAGTGATTCACTATCCGCGGTGTTTTTATTCGCGTGAACGCGAGCGGAATGATGGCTGCTATTAGTTTATCACGTTCTGCCTGGTGCAGATATATAATGCCTTGTTGCGGGGGGGGGGGATGGGGGGTGAAAGCTGGAGGGGTTTCGATGCGACCCAAGGGACAAGCACACGTGGGGGTTGACCTGAGGGGGGATGGGGGAGGAAAAGCTTTGGAGTGGTGCTCCAGATTCTCGTGTTATGTACTCCTGGCTTATTCCGGGTTGCTTTTTGAAAGTCTCGATGAAAGGACGTTGCTTAACGGATTCCCTCGTCTTATATTTTGTTTATAGGTTTACTCAGTCCAGAGCAGATTGTTTTTTTTTTCACCTGAC